GAGTTAAACTAGCAACGAGAGACCCGGGGCTGCGATTGACCAGCAAAACGAACATCTCGTCGAGGAACGACTAAACTTGGAAACGAATACTACGTGCGCCGCATTGTTCGTGCCGCATCGGGATTTGTTCCTTTACGATTCTCGCAAAGCGGTTACCTCCGTTTCGACCTTTTTTTCGACTTTTCTCGAAAACGTCGTGAAGCAGATCTGCCTTGTGCCATACCATAGATCGTTTTAGAATCAGACCAGATTCTTGCTTCAACTTCTCGAATAAGATATACAGCGTAACAGCTATTTTTCAGATTCATGGAAAACGTTGTTGGAATCGGACTCAGTTACAGGGAAGCGGGTTGTTATCCGTCGGGTATTTATATGTACGAAATTTTTCAGCGAGGGATACAGTCAAATATTTGATATTATTTTTAATTCGATATTAGTTTTAATTGTTGTGATTGTTTACAGTTATTCTGAATGGATGGTTTTCAATTCCAATCCACATTCCCCAATTTCCATATTTCATAATTTTCATATTGCCCAATTTCCAGGTTCCCCAATTCCTACATTCCCCAAATTCTACGTTCCCCAATTCCCACATTAGCCAATTCCCACATTCCCCAATTCCCACGTTCCCCAATTCCCACATTCCCCAAATCTCAAATTTTTCAATTCCCACATTCCCCAATTTCCATATTTCACAATTTCCTCATTGCCCAATTCCCACATCCCCAATTCCCACAGTCCCCAATTCCTACATTCCCCAGTTCCCACATCCCCAATTCCCACAGTCCCCAATTCCTACATTCCTCAATTCCCACATTCCCCAATTCCCACATTACCCAATTCCCACATCCCCCAATTTCCACATTTCCCAATTCCCACATTCCCCAGTTCCCACATCCCCAATTCTCACAGTCCCCAATTCCCACATTCCTCAATTCCCACATTCCCCAATTCCCACATTACCCAATTCCCACATCCCCCAATTTCCACATTCCCCAATTCCCACATTCCCCAATTCCCACATAGTCTAATTCCCACATCCCCCAACTCCCACATTCCCCAATTTCCACATCCCCCAACTCCCACATTCCCCAATTCTCATATTTCCCCATTCCCACATTCCCCAATTCTCTACTTCCCAAATTCTCAGAAAATGAACGCATTTTTTAATTTTTTTATTTATTAAACCTTTGAATTTCCAAATTATTAAACTATAAATCCCTAAATTCTCAAATTACGGTTGTTTCGAAAATTTATAAATTCCAAATTTCTAAATTCCCAAAACTACAAAACCGCCAAATCCCCAATCTCCAGAACTTTGGAAAATGTAAAAATTTCCAAATTACCCACCTCCTAAATCACCAAATTCCCCTCTTTCTCCTTTCCCTAAAAATGTTGAAATTTCCAAATTCACAAATACTCAAAATAAAAAAACAAGAAACCTAGAAATTGCGTCGAACATCGAACGTCTTCCAACCTCCTCTTCCTTTATATGACAGAAACATTATACCTGCACCGCGATTAAATTAGGCGTTCCAAGAATGTTCGTATCCTGCAATTCATCAGCAGCTGGAGAATTTGAATAAAAGCCAACCGCGGAAAATTATGCTGCTAGGATCGTCGGTGATAAATCATTGATTTATCGCAATAATCCGTTCCAAACATTCTCCATTCAGACCGTGTCGATGCATCAGAGCGAATGCATAATTCATGTTTTGAGAGCAGCCTACTGATCGTATGGTTCAAAGAAAATCAACACGCCTCAGGTTCGTCGCTTGTTTTCCTTCGTGTTTTTTTTTCATTGGTTCTTCCTGGTAATTTTTTATCGCGAAAGAAATTTTTGCAGATCACTTCCGACTGTTTTTATTTACCGCGGGCTTTAAAGTGGAAGCCCGGTTACGGGAACCTGGAGGAACCAGTGACCTATGCTCTCGATGATTTACAGAGAGCAGGTTAACCAGCTCCAGAGTGGATTGGTAATGACAAAATGAGTTCTAGTTAAGCTTCGCGTGATGCAATTTGTGTAATTAACCTATTTCATCGTTTTCTAAGTTGTTTATTGATTTAGTGAGAACACCTGCTTTTAAGGAAAAATTTGTGAGCATAAGATTTTAGATAAAAATTTTTAATGTTCAAGTGTAATTTGTAATATTTAAACGGTGACATTTAATCTGTGCAAATTGTGAGAACCAAGTTTCCCACGACGTTGGCCTTCGTTTTTATTAACGAAGAGTGAATGCAAATTTTATGCTACTTACAAGATAATTATGATATGATATTATTATTTAATGGAATTTTATGCTGATAAGACTTCACAAAGTTTTCGACGTTGTTCTTTACGTAACACTTTCACGAGAACGTATTTCAAGAAATTTACAAGTCCGTTGCATGTACTTTGTAATTACCATACGATATTACGTAATTCGGGTAGTTTAGCTGATTTTTGTCAACAAATTTTCTCTTTTAAAGACTGGAACAGTTGTGTAATTAACAATCATAGAAATTGACTGCTTTAAATCAGGTTTATGGTTCAGACGGGAACATGTTTTGTTTAAAATGCAATAAAAAACAGTAATTTCTTAGTTGTTATTTGAGAGGTAACATAGCAAAGATTATTTCATTTTGTGTGAAATTAAAGAAAGTTATTTTCCAAGTCTACATTGTCTATTATTTTATTTGATACAATTTACTTTTTTAATAAATGTATACATAAATATAGGAAGAAGAAGCTTGGTTATGTCTGTAATGATTAGTCAGTCTTGAATCCATGTATATTCAATATATTTTCTATTTTATTCTTTTACATATTGTATATAATTAATTCGATGTAGACTGGATTTTAAAACGAGTAACAATTTTATATATGAAGAATTAGTAGAAATAAAAATGAAACGCATAGTGTCCTTTTTCTGTGTTATTCCTCTACTATTAACACGTGACTGTCATGGCGGACCGATGGCAAACCGCTCCACCTCAAAAGAAATATATCGAAATAACCAAAAAAATGAAAGGAAAGCGAACAAATTATGACAGAATTACTCTTACAGTAATGGCATAAGATAAAAACTTCAAAGTTTAAATACGATAATTAACTATTCATGTACCTATTTTATGACTGAAGTTTCAACATATGATACGTCCGCCATTTCTGTTGTGGCACATACCAACACGAATTACTTCTATATATAAAACAAGTCATTCTTATTTTAAAAGGAAAATTTTCATGAAGTTTACCATTCATTAAGAAATTGTCCTGAATCTTCGGTGAATTGAAACATTCAATTCGCACATTCTTTTAAATATAATGCAGCCATTACTTTTGTTTGATTTTAAAATTTATTTTAGTTCCAATGTCGACTATTCGTTGCTCTGAACATAACCAGTGCTTTGTTGTTTTCACGCTCGAATTCACGATTCAGGCTGCGATGTTTTCCAGCCAGAAACACGGGACACGGAGAAATTTTACGAGATATTAATTACGCGCCAACATAATTAAGTTATTGATTAATCTCACCGTGCACCTTCTCGTAGAGTAAATCAAGTTGCGGATGAATTTCGCTTGAGAACACGAAGGGTTGTTAATCGCGTGTTTGCAGCCGAGTTTTGGAGCCTCTCTTGCACTGAACATTTTAAAAAATTGTAAAATTCTATTACTTTTTTATGTCAGCATATTACAGATAATACTAAATATTCAGATGCATATCGAATTAATCAAATATTTCCATTTTTATACATTTTATAGTGAAGACTATCTCGCAAGTATTTAAGAGAATTATAATATTAAACCATTTAAGAAAATCATAATATTAAACAATTTAAGAGAATCATAATATTCACTGTAATAAATTAAGTAACAGAAAGTTGAAAATAATTTTCTTTGAAATTGAAGCAATTTGCAAATTACAAAACTCTGCAACCGTGTGACATTGAAGTTTAAAAATTTGTGAGGTTTAAGAACTTCGAATATTGGAATCATTGAATTCTTGAGTTTGTCAGTTCTGGAATTTCTGAGGTTGCATTACAGCCCCGTTCGTGGCAATATAACGGGAAACAACTGCAATTACCTGCTCAACAAGGTTGCAAGTACGTTAACGTGTCACGAAGTTCTGCAAGCACATCAAACCGCCAATCTTCGGTGTGGTGTGCCAGTAACAGCTATCAATTCCCGGAATTTACCATCCACAATTCGAGGAATGCGGTAGCTAGTTGTCCTTAAAAGGAGACTCGCATTAGTCAGCCGAAAGAGCAGATAAAAATTTCTTCGACCAATTGTGTTCTCGAACTTTCACTGAATCAATGTTTTCGGGTGAAAGTATGGCGATTAAGTTCGAACCTTGAAACTCTTCGCCGCTTCTGTGTACGCTAATATTTGAATCACACCTGCTACACAAAAACCGAACAAGCTAAAAAATCAAATTTTGCGAACATTATTGTTTTTCATAGTACACCCGATGTTATTCAATTTTATCGTTAAAATGAAAATAATAATTAAAGAAAAAAAATCTGTAAGCTTGAATATAAAATATTGTAAAAGCAAAAATATTTAACGAATAAAAAGTTGAAAGAACCTTAAACTAGTTAATAAATTGTGCGCACCTTGTATGAAGATCTGAGATTTTATTAATTCGAACAAATCAGTTAAGAAGATACAGTAAACCAGTTTGTAAAGAACCACTCTGTAAATTTTTTTCCAAGCCCTTTAATTTTCCAGGTAAATTTAACAATAAACAAAAAAGTTGCAGATAAATGTAATCTAATTTTACAAGGAGCATAATTGAATGCCAACGGTAAACGAAGTAAGGAAAATCCTAATGGCAACTTCACCTTTTAAACGAAATAATATATTTTCTTCTTCTTTGTTCTTGACGAACTTCTTCAAGATACAGTGGAAGATCCTTTAACATCTTTTAACTTCATTTGTGTTGAAACGTTTAATTAGGTTAGAAACGAGGGATGCAGGAAAATAATAAGTCACGGCGTATGCATTATTAATTTCGATTATTTGTATTTCTTAAAACAATTGTACGCGTATCGCAATAAATAATAATCGATAAAGCGCTTTGTACCAAATATTTTCTACAACAAATATTTGTATCGATCGTCTATGGTTTAACACCGTAGGAACTCCAGGATTTTTCCGTGCATCGGTGTTTTCACACGATGGCATTACGCGTTAAAAATCACATTCGTCATCGTAATCGACGCGTGTTCGGTTGACAGATTATAAGTTAAATTAACGATTAAATGTTTTCTTACGAACGGAACAACGAAGCAAGCGCGAGCAGTACGACCATCAGCAAAGAATAAGTGGACACACTCGCTTCAGAACGCAATAACAAGGCCGCCTGCGCAGGAATGGACACTTTTGTCAATGAAAAAGTGGTGCTGAAACACAAAAATACGAATCGTTATAAGAATTTTGAAAATTAACAGTTTGTGACTTGCAATCATATCTGATTTAAATATCACGACTAGAATTACATTTATTTACCTTTTCTTAACTCCGGAGTTGCTGCTACTCAAAACCACTCTACCAGTACTTTTAGGCATCAGGCTCGTCAGATTAACCGAAATCGGCTGAGATGCAAAATTCATTAAAAGTGCTGCTGCATCATTGCTTTTGTTTCGTATTACAGCCAGAACGTTGTTTTCCAAAATGACTGTACGCAAATCACCTTTTTTCAGTAGATCAGACTTTCTCAGATTTGTCAATGATGTGTAAAGTTTGTAGTCAGAGTCGTCAGTGGTTTTCTGCTTCTTCAAGTTCCGAGTTTTGTAGTCCGTGTGAACAGGCAGCCACGGTTTAGAAAAGTTAGTGAAACCTGCGATCAGATTTAATTGTAGACAATACAGTTTGTACGCTAACGGACATGGAGCAAGAGACACAATAGTCTTTTTACTGATTTACTTATTGATACGAATAGTTTCCTATTTACAAGATAATTATAATAACTGACATAATACATATGCCTGTTACTAATGTTAGTAATCATGAATTGGTGCATTTTTTTATAAAAGTTTGCTCTGTGTCATAATTTCTATGTCTCGGATTCACTCGTACATTTGTACACGCAGACTTGGTATGTCCTGCGCATGCGCTCATTAATCTGCGCATGCGTTCGCTGATCTGCGCATGCGCTCATTGATCTACGCAGTCAGAACACTAATTCACTACGCATATCTCTATACATATGTTGAAGTACTAAATCCCATTGATACTATCGTGAATGTCTAATAAAATCAACTTATCAAATGAAGTATTAACTATTTCACACAATATTTCCAAGCAACTTTTCGCCTGTACAACATTAGACATTGAATATTTCTCTTAGTGGAACAACTGTTATTTCTAAGTGTTCTTTCTTCACCGTATCTTATTTATTCATACTGACACAGATATTCTATTTCGAAAGATGGAAGAACTGAATTTATCAAGTATTATTTACTCGCCACAAATCCCGACAGGTGAAAGAGCTACAGCCGCCATATTTCTAAATAAAAAACATAATTCAATTTCATACTTTCGGCAGAAGCGAACAATTGGTTACATCAGTCAGAAAAACGAGGAAAATAAATTTATCATACTTCTAGAGGTCATCTTGTGGCGAGCACATAATATAGAAATAGAATGTCACAACACGAAATTATGACAAATGTTCGGTGAATCTTTTTTTTACCTGCTTGTGCACTGTCGTCCCATTGGAACGGTGTGCGTGCACCATCACGGAAGTCGTACTCGTGGAGAGTTTCGTTATCCACCATGCCGATTTCCTCTCCGTAATAAGACACAGCTACACCGGGCAATAACATCTCCAGCATTATCATCTGATCTCCTCTCTTCGGGTAGCGTGTGCCTACACGAACTCGATCGTGGTTTCCCATCTAAAGAAATGTTCATTTTTGTATAGAAATTTGAAAATTAAGAGATTTCGATATTTCCGAATTTGAGGGTTTAGGAATAGAAATTTGAAGTCAATAAGTGTTTTGTAGTACTACATTATTGCAAGTGTTATTTTCATGTGGAAAATCTGCGATCCATGTTCTCGAAGAGCAAATTAATGGATAATCAACGACAATAAAATGAAGATGATCAACAATAATTTTTGTTATAATTCTCGAATATCTCCAAAGATTTGGCCAGATCGTTATTGTTATTACTACTTGAAGAGAATTAAACAATTTACGTACCACCCAATTAGCTACAGATCCGTTTGGCATCATATTTAGCCATCTATCTATGATATTCTTGAACGTAGACGCGTCCGAATTTTTGTCTGCGTCTGTTATGAATTTGAAGTTGAACGCAACATGCGAACCGGCTTCGTAATACTTTATTGTGTTTTCCCAACTGGTATACGCTTCAGTTAACAACACCTACAACATGAGATATTTAAAAAATAGGTTCGTTTTCGAACATAACATGTCGCTTTAATGATTTCTAGAAAATAGAATAATTTGTTTCACCTTCTCGTCTTGGTTTTTTTCATTCGCATACTGATCTACATAGTCTCGCCAACTTTTCACCAGGGTATAAGTTTGCGGCTGATCTTTTGTTAAGATGTGATTGAAAGACACGTGATCAGTCTTATTAGCACCTGGTACATCGAGTGTTGGTTCGTCTTGGGTGTAATTACTCTCGAACAAATGTGGCACGGCGTCGATACGGAATCCGTCAATTCCTCTATCCAACCAATATTTAATCACGTCCTAAAGAATAACGCGAAGTAATGAGTCATCATGTTAATATATAGGTGGTTCAGTTTAAAAATTTTCTGTGAACGAACTTTCATCGCCATATTATGACATGAACAAAACTGACTCTTATTTGTATAATAATAATATGGTTAAGATCTGTAAGCGTATTTGAATCAGGGATACAAATCTTAACAAGATGTTTTACCTTCATTTCTTGTTGAACCTTAGGATTGCTGTAGTTTAGGTCTGGCTGTTTTGGATAAAATTGATGGAAATAGTATTGTTGTCTCTTCTCGTTCCAAGTCCAAGCCGAACCATTAAACACACTGGCCCAATTATTTGGAGGCACTCGTTTTATAACCGTTCCATTTGCCGACGTTTCATTTACCAACTTTCCATCGTTCCATATATAATAATCCGTGTATGGATCTGTGCGATTTATGCTCAATTGGAACCATAGATGCTCGTCGGAGGTGTGATTAGGAACCAGGTCCAAAACAACCTGGAATTCAAGAATTGAATCGTTAATATTTCTCGCGGTGATGTCAGATCGTTAATAAATGGTTTACATACATTTTGCTGTTTTATTATTTTACTTTATTATTACTTTACCATTTCACTATTCTGCTTTTTTGGTACTTTAATATTTCGATATTTTAGCATTTTGCTGTTTTACTATTTATTATTTTATCATTCTACAATTTTACAGTTTATAATTTCCCCGCTTATTTCATCGCACATTTTATGTGCTATACTACAAACTGATACTCTCCTTATATTACTGAAACTGGTAAACTCTCCTTATATTGCCGTCATTGCAAATTAATTTAATTTCTCTTCACAGACAAGTTATAACTCTCTTCTTACGAAGAAGCTCTTTCTACAGCTACGCTACAAATAATTTTCAGTTGCCGAGTTCTCGTATGGCAATATAACGAGAGATCACTGCACAAGTTCCTACACATATGCAATATTGTATACCTTCAAACCAAGCTTTTTCGCTTTCGCCGCGAGAGCCTTCAAATCTTCCTCGGTTCCAAAAATTTTATCAATTTTTGTGAAATTTCTTATATCGTATCCAAAATCTACCATGGGACTGTCGTAGATTGGCGACAACCAGATCGCTCCCACGTTAATATCCTTGAAATGCTCCAATTTCGATGTTATACCTGTTGAAAATGAAAATCACTTGATATAAGCTCGAAACAACTAATACAAAGTAAATGGTTATTGTAGTTACATATTGCAGGGTTATACGATCTGTGGTGATATACAGGGAGTTAATGCGTAATTACGCAACTAGTGATGATTAAACTTGCAACCACATAACACATAGTGATTTAATTGTTAGATCATGGAGATGTAATGTGTGGTAATGTAACATGTGGCGATGTAATGCGTGGGAATTTAATATGTAGATATACGGTGCGTGGTTATATGCAGTTTGTGTCTATGCAATGAGTGGTGTTGTAATACGTGGCAATATAACGCGTAACGATGTATCACGTGGTATTATAACGTGTAGCGATGTATCACGTGGCAATATAACGTGTAGCGATGTATCAAGTGGTATTATACCGTGTAGCGATGTATCACGTGGCAATATAACGTGTAGCGATGTATCAAGTGGCAATATAACGCGTGGCTATGTATCACGTGGCAATATAACGCGTAGCGATATATCACATGGCAATGTAACATGTAGGGATATATCACGATTCTTACCTATAAAACATGTGGTAAGCTAATACATTGATTTACTGCACGTGGCGACATAATACGCGGCGATTTAACGCGTGAAAATACGACAGGCGATATACTGCGAGGTGATACAACGCATAGTTTTCCAACGCGTGAAGATCTAATACGCAAGTAATATGGTGAAATAGAAGACGAACGGGTAGATGTACCACGCATGGCAATATACAGCGTGATGATATAACGCGGAGATATTTAATACGTGGCAATATAACGCGTGGAAACCTAATGCATTATATGTCAACTGGTGATATAGCGTGGCGATTTTATTCGTAACTATTCTACGTTTTAATACGTGATAATATGTCGAATGACAATTGCGAGTAATCAAACGCATAACTATACAATAATCCTTAGGTTTACAACGCGTGCAACTTAACGCGTGGCGATTTAATGCGCAGATATAGAGCTCGTGGCGTAGATAACATGTAACGATAACACGATGTTATTGAAACATTTGCTATATTATAATTCTTTCTGTTTCAGGTAAGTGGCAAACGCAGATAAACTGATTCTCCGTTATCGATGTAAGTAAATATTCTGAAAAGAATTAGAAATATTATTTTATTTCACTTTCGCGAAAATGTATGTACTTTGAATAAAATAAAGTTTAGGTATACACAAAAGCGTTCCGTCATTCTTCATTTCTATTTAAATCTTGACACGGTATATCATACTCAGCTGATCGTTACGTACACACTTCCGATTCGTATTACATAAATGGTTGCACGTATGTCTCGATTAAATGATGAGGCAGAAAAATATGAAGGAACATAAGCGTTTATATATTCCGAGTTCGGTTCTTGAAAACTCATCTGATCGAAATTGGGCTACTACAAATTAAATTGATTATTTACTATTATATTCAGTAATTAACGAGTGGATAATTCAAGAAATTAATAATACATCAAGGCTGAGAATTTTTTGTGTTTTTCGAAATATTTCTTTTTAGAGGATTCGATACATTCCTCTAGTTATTATTAAGCATTTATTCTACGTTACATCACCTGCGCGAAAAAAGGAAGTGGAACGTCAGAAGCGCAATTAAATATTACTAATTCTTATCATCTTTGTTATTGTACATTATGTCATTCTCGTGAAACGTGTAGAACGTGAAGACTAAAACTACATAAAAAATACCATGATTACGATGATTGATAATTTTTAATTTGAGATAATTTTCTGAAAAATGAACGAAAGCAAACTGAAAATATGATAAACTTAGTAGAATAAGATATTTCTATAATTAATTTTAATTCATTCGCCGTTTTATAATTTCAAAATTAAAAATATTTTGATAATCATAATTAATATTAAAATTCAGAAGTAAAGAAAAAAAGAAGAAAAATTAAAAAATTATCTAGTAATATTCCTTTTCCTTTTCAAACAACTTTTCGCGAAAACAACTTTTCCTTTTGCTTTTTCATGATCTCCCGAACGCTGTTGCAAAACGTACAAAATGGCCACAAACGGAGGTCTTGGATTTCGTGGTGCAAGAATTATCGATGCTCATCGTGTTACGAAACCGAGACACCTTTTCTCCCACGAACAATTTAATCACGCTCGTAAATTTCGTTTTACGGCTTATCGTGATCAAAATCGAACGTGAAGGAGAACGAATGCGTTGCTGTATTTCAGATCACACTCACCCTTCAGGCGTTTAAGATTCCAACGAAATTATTCTAGATGTAAATAATTACTAATAATGTAACTATAATTGTTCATAGGTATTTATATTTGTATAGGTGATGTTAAATATTAATATTTTGATAAGTCGCGTTAATTTGCGATTTTATATTATCACAGTTATTTTATCGACGTTCAGGATTATTTTATTAAGTCTGTTTTATTTGATTGATAATTTTGGTTATTTTTGTATGTATAAATAATATTTAAGACTATTTTATTATTTCTTTACTTTACTGTTTTACTGTTTTATTATTTGACTATTTTGCTATTTTGCTATATTACTATTTTAATATTTTACTATTTTGCTATTTTATTATTTTAATAATTTGCTATTTTGCTATTTTGCTATTTGGTATTTTACTATTTTGCTATTTTATTATTTTGCTATTTCACTATTTTGCTATTTTACTATTTTGCTATTTTGCTATTTTACTATTTTGCTATTTTGCTATTTTGCTATTTTGTTATTTTGCTATTTTACTATTTTGCTATTTTTCTATTTTATTATTTTGCTATTTTGCTATTTCACTATTTTGTTATTTTACTATTTTGCTATTTTGCTATTTTCCTCTTTTACTATTTTACTACTCTACAATTAAAAATACACTCTCAACTCTCTCAAGTTAAAATAAATTCACTTAAGGTCAATATTCCCATGAACCCAAGCTATTATGTTTGCTACTATAAACAATTTAAATAAATAATAATTAATTCCACTATTCGTATTTACTTTCCATTACACTAGTACAACTTCCAAATGAATAGGGTAATAAGTACCATCGTGAAAATAAAGAAGTCCGAAAGCAAATTGTCTCAAAAATAAAGTACTTGATGTGGTAATGATAACAAGTCACCGAAAAAGAAAATATAATTTCACTGCACACATGTACACACTATCTGTTGCTTCATAGTGACTCATAGTTGAAGAATTACAGTAGCTTTCCAGTGTACGAGGTTAGGTTGGAGCAACCATAACCTTCTAGATTAACGGAAGGGTTAAACTTTAATCGATGAAGTGTTGTTTTATCAGTTATCATATCAATTCTTCTTTCCTCCTTATGAAATTTATAACATTTTTAATTTCACTCGTGATAGTTATAAGAATATTATATAACGTTATTAAATTTTGTAATCTGAAAATATAGAGTCAGATTTTTCAAAGTAACAAATTATCTTAGCACCAAAATTTTCAAATTTTAAGCTTACATTTTACTTCTTCAGATTTTCCGCATTTCTCTGTACAGAAATTCTGCTAATACAGAAATTTAGAAACATAGATACGTAACAACTCAAAAAATTCTAAAAAATTTGAAACTTCGTCATCTTAAAATGCAATTAAAAGAAGTCAAACTTTTACCAATAACAAATTTGAAAAACTGGAAATTTAGAAATTAGAAGATTTCAAATTTGCAAGTTTGGAAATACAGAAATTAAAAAAAGTTCAACTTGTCAGATTAAGAAGCAAGAAATCTGTAAATTCCAAAAGTTTCCAAATTTTTTATTGAACTACCTATGAACAGCCATCGCCACACCGCGTTCTAATAACATAATACACGTATTCCAATTCCGTTGCAAACACGAACGTCGAATAAAAGGAAGTGTATCCTACCTTGTAGATCACCGACACCATCTCCATTTGAATCCTTGAAGCTCCGCGGATAAATCTGGTAGAAAACGGTACTGTTCCACCATCCCTTATTCTTCATTTCTCCGGCCGCTAAGGCGGCCGTCAGCAACAGGACAATGGCGACTAGGTTATTGGTGCTCTTCATGGTTTGAATTGTGCGGCATGCGATCAGGCTGCTCCCTTATATGCAACGTCCGACGGTAAAAAAGAACGCTGACTCGTTGCGATAAGAAGTTGAGAGCGATAACGGCGTATTTGAACGAGGAGTCGACTCGTCAACGCGACGGCCATGTTCATCGAACGATCCTTCGTTGATCGCTGAAATCCTTGAAGATACGAACGGTACATAGGTACCTAGAAACTATACGGAATAATGCGCATCGATTTCTCGTGAAATCGTAGGAATTAATATTTTGTTGCATAAACAACGCTTGCTGCAGGGGTTCTCAAGCTGTGTGAGCAGGGTGGTTGCAATATTGTCTTGCAACTTTGTTTAATAATCTCCATAGACAAAATATTAGTGTTGAAACAGGAGGTGCAATTTTTGTTTAAAATGAAACATGCGTGGTTATTTAGGTTTAAAGTCAAATGAAATTCAAAGCCTTCAACTGATGTCACGTTAAATCATTTTGTTACTTAAGAATTGTACTGTGTAATTTTGTATAACAATTATGTTATTCAGTGGAACTATACTAAATTATGTTAAACGCTGGACAGAACATGAAACTGTAGTGTAAAATTTATAATGTAATGAAAAAATGTAACCTTTGCTAAGAAGAAGTAAAATGGAATCACATATTAAAAAGACACATTAAAAAATTTATCACATATTACAAAATTTATTAAGCAAGCACAAATGTCATCAGTTAAATTTCTTTAAATTGAACGCAATATGTTTCTTTATTAAATTAAATTTAATTAGTTGATTAAATAATAGGTGACGAATTAATTTTTGAACGAATATTGTGTTTATGTTCTATTCTTCATTCATATATTTTTTATTTCTCATAAATTGATCAAACATTTATTGAATCTATTTTTAACCTAATTGTCTATATTTTTGGTTTTTTATTTGGTCAAGAATAAAATAAAAAAAGTAGCAGTAAATTATTGATGTTAGGGAATTTTAATTTTGATAGCATGTGTGAAAAAGTTGAGATGTACTGTTTGCAATACGTGAATTAGCATGAAGAATTCATTACCCACAAAGTGAGTGTTCAAGTAGAAATATGACACAGAGTGCTTAATAAGACACGCATCTTCGTTTAGCACTAATGAGTTTTTGAATTTGTCTCGACATGCAATCAACTTTTGACAGTTTTTTGTAACCTGAGGATGTTTGACCATTTGACTTATTTAAAACACTACTTGTCTTTACTTTGAATTAGTTTTTTAACAAGATATAATTCTAACATTAATTTAAATTATTACACAAAAATTGAACAAATTATTTTTGTAGTTTTCTGAAACGTCAGTGATGAATTGTTATAAGGAAATTTTTTATAGCGATATGATGACCAATTTTGATAACAGACCATTTAAATTTAGCAACAAAATTGTTAGCAACAAACAGTTTTGTTGCTAATCTATAATTACAGAATATGTTCACAAAATATTTGATAAGAGAAAGTAAAAAGTAATTTTTGTAGAACAAGACAGTTTTGTGAAATGTCAATAAATATTAGGAAAACAATAAATTAAATTGCAGAATAATAGAAAACATTTCGTTCAATATTATTTTTTTTTTTAATGACGGAAAGTGCCAACAAAAAATGGCTAAGAATCTAACAATTTTCTTATGGAAATATAGAAAAAACAAAATAACGAAATATACAAAACACTAAAAATACAATGTGTAATGGTACACGTCTTCGATAAGTAAAGTATATTATATTGCATGAAGTATACCGTAATAGTTTCGAATTATTTCGCAATATATTAACAGTGGAAATAAACGACGTGTTTACTAATATACAGTTGGTACGCCTCCTGGATTAATACAGCTTTTATTGATAATTGACGCAAAGAAAGGGAATCGAAATACCTAAGATTTCTAAACGCTGTTGATCATCGATAACTTAGTATCCACTCGAGATTAAGTTTCCGATTAACGATAGTATTATCGATAGTAATTAGCGTGAAGTAAACAATAACTATCGGAAACTTTGATTTGCTTTCAACAAATCAACGCACTAATAAATCCGCCATTTCTAAGTAAATATACTGATGGATCAAAATCCATATGAATGAAATTTCAGATTTACCTTCGTTTTCTTTTTTGGTGGCACGTGCATTATTGCAACGTATCATTATTTGCAAGCAACGAAACCTTGCAATGCTCACACGATAACGATTACGAACATTCTTTTATGTGCCTTTCACTGATGTCATAATTATATAGCGAAAACTAGTAATTGACTTCAGTATTTAGGTCCAAATTATCAGTAAAATGGAAAGTATAAGCACGAAAAATTTATCGCTAAATGAGTCAATTTCTCAAAACCGTTTATATACTTCGCTACTTTAGTACAGAAAGACAGTCTATCTGAAAGTGCACTATACAGGTATTATTAATATTTTAACTACATTTCTTCTTCTAAAACGTTCTTTCAAGATGTTTTTTAGCAAGTAATCACAGATTTTAAAACTTTATTGAATACATATGTCTCCAGAATAATTATTTTCAAGAAGATGTACAAAATTTTTAAATTAACAAAAAGAAAACACAATTAACTTAATAGTATTAAGTATTACAACTATATTCATTTACATATTTATATATATTTGCAGTACATATTCACGGAATTATAAAATATTACATAATGGATAAAAGACATCAAACAAATGTAGCGCTCCTCAAATATTCAATGTTAAATAAATTGACTTAGCAAGTTAACGTCAATGTCCAATATATTATAACAATAATTAACATTAACAATTCACAGAAAAATTCACGTACACTGAAAAAATTATTTAAATACTTTTAAACATACTTTAAATTAATTCCCATGTGTCCAATAATCACTTATCTTACTCTCAGGCTCATTTACTTTCGGTTTAATTGACATCATCCAATAATCATTACATAAGTAATGAAACGTTCGTAAGAGTATAAATTATGATATCATTAAAGGAGCAAAATCGCGATCAACTGTTCCACCTTTTCCCTACTGTTTCGTCCCGAAATTTCGCTGAAGATCATTGCCTAACTTTAGCTCGAGGCGCCACGTTCGGAAACCAGTAATGAAACTTTCGCGGCAACGAAATAACTGCGTGATATTCATTACGGTTATTCGCTCGTTACACGCTTGGTACGTCTGTAAATTTAATAATTACGGAAATAAATAAGCATGCGGTTGGCGTAATTTGTCCGATCGTACGCAAACTGCACAGGAATCGAAATACGAACCTTTTACGATAAGTAATTGAGCTACCGCTTATTTTACTTTGCACGAATACTTTCCAATCAACCTGTTTAACGTGCAATATGCTTTATCATGGAGTGACAAATATTTTATGGGTGTAATTATGGTATGCAATGGGTGTATTGCACCGTTATGGACGAAATATTTGTTTCAGTGAGTGTACATTGGTTACACGTGTATACATTGGTTAAGAGAGGAGTGTGGAAATTATGAAGAACGGTGATTGTTTTTTTGGTGATTGTTAATGTTGCAGTTTGAGATAATTTAGGTTCGTGGAGAAAGTTGTGTAGTTTTGTTGGAATTTGGGACATTGGTGTGATCGAATTTTGGGATTTTGAGATATTGGGACTTTGGATTTTTGGATTTTAGGATTTTTGGGATTTTGGGATTTTGGGATTTTGGAATTTGGGAGATTTTGGAGAGTTTGGGGATTTTTGGGATTTTTGGGATATTGCAATTTTGGGATCGTGAGATTTGGGGATTTCAAGATTTAGGAGTTTTAGATTTTAGGAATATGAGAAGTGGAGTATTTGGGGAATTGGGGTACTTGGGAAATTGGAGTATTTGGGGAATTGGGGTACTTTGAGAATTGGGGTATTTGGGAAATTGGGGTACTTGGGGAATTGGGGTATTTGGGAAACTGGGGTATTTGGGGAATTAGGGTACTTGGGGAATTAGGGTATTTGGGAAATTGGGGTATTTGGGGAATTGGGGTACTTGGGGAATTGGGGTATTTGGGAAATTGGGGTACTTGGGGAATTGGGGAATTGGGGTATTTGGGAAACTGGGGTATTTGGGGAATTGGGGTACTTGGAGGATTGGGGTATTTGGAAAATTGGGGTATTTGGGGAATTGGGATATTTTTGGAAGATTGAGGTATTTGGAAAATTGGAATATTTAGTGAATTGGGGTATTTAGGGAATTGGGACTCAGTGAATTCGGCAATTGGTGAAGTAGGGAATTAGGAGACTTGGAAAATGGGTAAATGGGGCAATGGGGAAATAAGTTGATTTGAGAATTTGGGAATTGGAGAATGGGGGAATTAGAGAAATGGGGAATTGGGCAGTGGGAGAATGAATTAATTTAGCAATTTAAGGATTTGACAATTTGAACATTTGGGAATTGGAGATTTGGGAAATTAGTGAATTGGGGAGGTGTGGAAATTTGGTGATTTGATAATTTTGCACTTATGCAATTGTGCAATTTTCCAATTTTGCAACTTCACAATTGTGCAATTTTGGAATTTTAGAATGTTGAAACTGAAAATTATTTTAATTTGATACTGTAGATTTTGAGCAACTTAGGAATTTCAGTATTAATATACTGTTTTCGAAAACATCTCTCAATCGACAAATATTAATAAATTCTAATATAAACAGTTCAATATACTAGTAACATCAATTCAATAAATTATAAATCACCTGCTTCTGAAATTGCTTTTTAATAACGTCACTAATTGATATATTCTGATGACCGTATAAAAAAATTCATTCTATCGCGAAGGAAAGTTTGCGATCAATAAATGGAGCGGAAGTCTTGATCGGGAATTGACTTCCGTCGTCGTTTTTACACCCCTCGGCTATTTCCGAATTTGGATCACTAATATTCCACGTTTCATTTAGTTATCCAATAATTTTAATTATGCCTGATTAATTTTTATTAATACTCTGTTTCATTAATACAATTTTAATAATAAAATAATAAATCTTGCAAAATCTATACTTTCTT